AAATAATGAAGTATTCATAGTATGAATCAAAAAATAATTAATAAAATTGAATATTTCATAAAAGACTAGATATTTAATATAGAATATAAAATAAAACAAATAAGAATAATAAATGATATAACAATAGTATTGATAAAATGGTAATTCTGATATTTACTAAAAAAATTGAAATGAATAGAACTCTTATAAAAAAATAAGATAAATTAACAAACTAAAAGGAGTAAAAGTAATTCCAGTAGTAATAAATGGATTAATCAATATATAATCATTAAGAATGATAAAAGAATATTGTATTTAATTTGATATGAAATAATGATAAAAGATATAATTATTATCAACATAAAAGATATAATAAAATACTAATGATATTATGGAATTGAATATAGAGAAGTACATCATGAACAAATTATTAAATTAATCAATAGAAAATGAATGATATAATCTCATCTGAGTAAAATGAAATAGATAAATTAAGATTTACTGTTTCTTATTTATTAATTTTTATTTAATTTAATATAATATAATTAATTTTTTTATTTTTATTTTTTTAATTTTCTTAAATTAGAATTTATTTTATTTTTTTCTTTTTATAATAATTTTTTTATGGTACAATTTGACGATAGTGTGATAGCATCATGTAGTACGTAGTGGGAAATTTTGGTCCTTTTGGGATATATAACATTTCTATGTTTTATGTTTTATATAACACTTTTATATATAAATAGATTATGTTTTATATAACAATATTTATATTTATATTTAGAATATGGAATTCATCTTTTTTTGACATCTGGGTACATTCTTTTGAGGTATTCTTTTCGTATTTTGAAGTATTACACTTTTTGTATTTTCAATTTTATGAAGTATTACAATTTTTGTATTTTCATTGTTTCATCTTTTGTAAAATCGTTTTCCCGTTTTACGTTGTTTGTAATTCTGGATTATTTTTTTAATAGTAAAATTTTTAATATTGATTCTATAATCTCAAAATTATAACGATGATCTAATAATGAAACTATAATACTATTTAATGACCATACCATCAAGATATGATCATATCACTTTAATGTTTGGAACATCCACTAGTAATAAACCTGATATATTTAAAAGTGAAGAAGAAACTATGCTGGAAGAAAGAAATTTAGTGTTGAATGATTTTACTAATATGTTACAAGATATAGATGCTATAACTAGTTTAGCGCACATTCTAAATGAAGCTGTTAAAATGTCATTTAGTAATAAGTCCATTAAAAGTTTCAATAGTGTTGTATTAAAACATGTCGAGATTATAGAAGAGCTGCAATATAAAACAAAAAAGTTTAGAAAAGACAATTGGTTAATTATCAAAGAATTGAAAGAAGAAAAAGAAAGCAAAGAAAATAAAAAGGAAGAAGAGAGTAAATCAAAAAGAAGAAAGACCAAATTATTATAATTGACTAATTATTATAATTGACTAATTATTTTAATTTAAGTTTGTTTATATTTTTAGAGAAATCTTATTTATAAATTTTTTGTTTCATTTAAACATTAAAGCAGAAAAAGTGTTCAATTAAAATGTTTTATATCTGAAACGTATAAGCCATAATAAATGTATTTCAGTGGATTAATAAGAGAGTTAGCATTAACGATGAGCGAATCAATATCATCAATAAGAAAGCATAACCAGTCAAGCATTTTTTTAGAATGTTGGAGATTGTAGTGGTGGTCCCAAATGCGGAACCAATAGACCAACCCATAAAGGGCGACTCTTGCTGTCTCGTCATTGGTTATATTTAAGTAATATCTGACTTGATTAGAAACTAAATTAATAAGAGTTGATAGTAATGGCTTAAAAGAAGTCTTTGACATTGAATGTTGATCAAGATAATAAGACTGATTAAATAACAAATTAATTGTCTGTGTGAGGTCATAAAATTATCTATTATTTTATAATTAATAATAAAAGTACCATTTCATAATTTTAAAATTGTCTATTTTGTCTGTACAAATTGTCTGTTTGTCTGTGCAAATATTTGTCTCATCTAAATATTTAAACCATCAAATATAAAGAAGAAGATATAATGGGTATCGAAAGCGAAGATAAAGCAGAGTATCAAAAACTTGAATATATAAGCGTTAACAGATTAATTAACTATTTTGATGACTTAGATGAATTGAAAGAAGTGTGTTCGAATTTTGTAGAGTGTTTCAAAAAGGAAGAAACAACACCATATGACCACAAGAATTACGATGAGTTAATAGAAAAAGAATTAGACTTAGTTTACTTAATTCATAATCTATCTGAAGGGATGATACATGAGTATAAAGATGTAGAAGAGACATATAAGAGAAGAGCGTTTGAAAGAGAATTTGATAAACAGATGATAACGAATGAACAACTAACGAAAAAACCAAAAATACCCAAAGAAGATTAAAGAATTATAATAACTGAATTCTTCTTATTAAAAATTGTTAAATCAAAACAAACGAGTGGTAAGTGATTAAATTATTTTTCTTATTTTGTTTAAACATAGTTCACAATAAAATAAAACATTTAAATAATATAATTAATTAGTGTTTTTATTCCATCCAGTTAATGTGTTAATTTGCCATATGAGTTTCCAATAAACCCCTTTTAATATTCGTTTTTCGTTCTCATTGGTGATTGATGGAAGAAGGAGAACAAGCTGAGATAAAAGAGAACAAGCAACTTGGAGATTGGCTGGGTCAAGATCAATACAGGCAGTAGCCATTAGTAATTCTCTTACAGAAGACATGATTGAATAAAAAAATGAGATTATAAACGAATAAATAGTTAATTCAATTGAGTTTTTGTCACTTTATAAGATCAAATGGGGTAATATAATAACTGATAGGATAATAAGATAAAAAGTCAAAATTAATAAAGGAGCAAGAGGATCTTCTATAGATAGTATAAAGAATAGAATAAAAATATCAAAAGTCATTATACAAAATCTAGGTATAATAAATATTAAATATATGATAATAGTTAAATATGTACTTATTTTAATATCTTCCATTGAAATATTTATGTTTTATTGAGTTTAAGATGAGTTTATAATACTCATGATGACGAAATAAAAATAGATATGATGAAATATATCAATGTATATGATTTTTATACCTATTTATATAGATAAATAAGAAATTAGAATATAAATAGAAGAAAAGAGAAGAATTTTAGATAATATATAAACAAAATGGATCATCTTAGAAATAATAGAAATGTCAATTGTTAGTGATACCAACAGTACGCAAATGTGTTCATTTTCAGGTGCACCAGAACTTCCACCATGTCCAGACATAACGGAAACACCTAAAGAAGAAACAAAAGCAAAGAAGAATAAAACAAATAATAAAGAGAAGATGAATCAATTTATTAAAAGACAGATGAATGATGATCCAATTGATGTTATGATGGATATTATTGAAGAAAATAAACGATTAAGAAAAGAACTAGAAAGAATCCGATTGTTATTAATTAATGAAAATAGAATGAATGAAAAACTTCGGAATGGTGTTTTAAATGAGAGAGTTAATCTTCTTTATGATATTCATTGGCAATAAATTAATTAAATAATTTTTTGAACTAAATAATTTTAGAATGAATTATTTTGATATAAATACAGAAGATAGTAGTGATATAGAAGATGAGAGTGAAGTAGATGAAATAGGAATAGATAAAATAGATGAAATAGTGAATAATAGATTATCTAAAATTAAAGAAGGAAATAAAATACAAGAAGTTCATCATCAAATATTCTTTTATTATAATAGTTTAAATATTATATTAGGTAAACAAGGAACAGGAAAAACAACATTTATAATGAAAGAATTAATAAAAATGAATAAAATAGAACATTTATATGGAGCAGTTATTTATGTATCACAAAGTGCAGGAGAAGATGAAACATTTAAAGAATTAAAAGATTTAATTAAAACACCAATTTATGGAATGAATTATGAAAAATTTATGCCAACATTAATACAATATTATAAACAACCACAAGAAAAACATTTATTAATTATATTAGAAGATGCATTATTTGCATTAATGAAAGAAGATAAAACATGGGGAGAAATTATTACAAGATTAAGACATTTAAAAACAACTATTATTGTAAATATGCATATTTGGAAAAGTTTAAATCCCTCATTTAAAACACAAGTAGCAACAATTATTATATTTAAAGGATATTCTAAAGAAAATTTTAATTATATATTTAGACAAACAGCAGCAAATACAAGTGGATTTATTGGATATTATTTATATTTAGGAATGAATAAAGATCAATTATTAAAAATAGATAATTTAACAGGAGATATAAGTGTTATTAAAAAATAAATGAATTAAATATTAATTATTAAATATTTTGTTATATCATCTTTTAAAGGATCTGGATGATATTTTCCACCAGTCCATGTAATATTTTGTTTTCCAATATTAAATTTACCAGATCTTCCTTTCTCTTCTGGCCAATCTCTAACATATACCCAAATATTTCCAATACAATTAGGAATAACTTTTGCATTAATCATATGAGCAATTGCTACAGCATTATTTTTACCTTCAAAGAATCTATAATTTTTTAAATCATTTAATGATATATTTAATAAAATAAATGAATGAAGATTAAATGCATTTGGTGATTTAGCTATTGATGAATTAGTTTTTTTATCTCTTCTTGTCTTTCCAAGTGCACTAAAATCATCAATTGAATCTTTTAATCCAACTGTATATGTTTTTTGAACTTTTTTTCCTGGATTACCATAAAATTTATCAACATCAAATGCAGCTGATTTACCTTCTCTAATAATAATTCTTTTTTGAAGTGTAATAATAATGTTTGACACCATAATAATATTAGTATTAAGCTCTTCATTCGAATCAGCTAAATAAAATAATCCATCTCCATCAAATGATTTTTTGATGAAATCATATAATGAATTTTTAATTGAATTATATATATTAATAATATTTGATCCAATTGCAGATTTAATAGTTTTATATTTTTCAAGAACTTTCATTAAATCATTTAGTTTTTTATCACCGTTATCATTGTCATCAGTCTTATTAACCTTCTCGAAACATGATAATATTTCTGTTTTAATTTTATCAAACATGTTACCATGTTTATAATCAGTTACTGAATTTGGGATACGTACATAAATCAGGTTATTATATTTTGGTGCATTATATAAATTTGTAGAATCTTTCATAAATAACTTGAGATAATTTCTTATTTTTGTTGCATTATTTACAGTTGGAGTTAGTGATATACGAGAAGAATAAATTGGACTTCCAGGAACATAATCATCAAATGATTCATTATCCATGTGAATCTCTTCAGTGTCATTGTCATCATCATCTTCTTCTTCTCGATGTTTTTGTGATGAAGGTTTTCGAATGGGTTTTTGATTGGGTTTTGTTGTCTTTCGTGAAAAGTTGTTCATCTAATAATAATCAGATCTATATGACTCGTTTATATTATCAAAGATATTTAACAATCACAAGAGAAAATACATCTCCAAACATAACAACAGGGAAATGGAAAGTGAATTTACCATGGGAATTTATTACTTCTGAAAATTATCCTAAAACAATAGAAGTATTGAATTTTGTTTATTTTAATTTGAATGGTCAATTAGATATTGGTGTTAGTTGTCATGGTTCATTTAATTATGATTCACCTGAAAATGATCAAATGATATGTTTTTCAACATATGGGAATATGACACCAAAACATTTTAATATTAATAAAAATATATCTTCAATAGAAATATGGTTTAAAGATTATAAAGGAAATATCATTATGCCACTTGGAATTTGGGATGAATATTTTATCTTAGAACTTAATTTACATTATTAAATGGAAGCAATTGGTTCAAAATATTTAAATAAAAATAATATTTTAACAACAAGATATTTTAACAATAATACAATTTATCTTGATACAATTAAATCATCAGATGGAATGACAACAATTAATGTTAAAGATATTCTATCAAATAATGAAATTGATGAAATAAAAGAGAAAATGAAAGAAACAAATATATATATTGATGATATTAGAGATGATGTATCACAATTATCAACATTAAATACAACAAATATGAATGAAATTAATAATTTAACATCTCAATTAATATCTTTATCTTCTCTTGTTAATGAAACATTATATTCACCACTTTATTTTAATGAAGAAACAATAATAAAAATGAATGGTTTAAAATCTTATATTAATGATAAAATTAATAATATTCCTAAAGGAATAACAGAAAATAATAAAGTTATTAATGGTATTATTGTAAAACAAATAATTAATTATGGAAATGAAGAAGTAAAATTTGAATCTGTTGTTCCTTTCACAAATTTTAATCATCATTTTTATTATGATGATAAAACTTATAATCTCAAACAAAATAATTTATTTATTTCATTTGGAAGAAAATCAATTGATTGTTCAGCAATAATGAAATATTGTTGTAACTCAAATTCAAGTGATGAATATGTTTATACATATAGTAATAAAAATTATTATGTAGCAGAAATATATTATGTATTTAATCAAACAAAATCAAATGAATATGAAATAAGTTTATGTCATATTAATTTAGATGGAAGTTATAATAAAATTAAAACATTTGATAAAATTAAAGTTTCAGATTTAGTACAAGAAAGAGAAGAAACAATTGATGAAACAGAATATATATTACCATCATTACCAAAACTTACAGTATAATTATAAATGATCTTTTTATTTAATCAAATTTCATCTTATATTTTTCACTTTTATTTTTATATTCAAAAGAAAAGAATTATAGAAAGAAATAGAGGAATTATTTCAGAAATAAATTTTGATTATATTAAACAAGTTAATGAATGTTATGAAAGTTGTTATATCAAAAATTAATAAATAAATGAATTAATTTTAATTTAATCTGTTCCTGTTTTTTCTTTAACAAAATATTTGTTATTACAAATATATTCACAACCACCTTGTAATGTACATCTCCAGAAACAATCTTGACATACAAGCATAATTGGACATCTATCATTTGATTCTTTAGTTAAAGGATTAGTGATATAAGGATGTTCATTATTAGGAATTAATAAAGTTCCAGAAAGTGTTACATGAGCATTATCTTTAGTAATTCCATCACAAAATGTACCATAACCACTTAATCTTTCAGTACTACATAAGAAACAATATGATGTATTATCTTTAAGTGGTGGAATATATTTTCCATTTCCTGCTTTTCCTATAATTGAATTAGTATCTATTTCATTATATTCTAATGAATAAGCAAATTCTTTTGAAGGAGAGAATAAATTATCTAAACCAGCATTAGTAATATTATAAATAGTATGTGATTTTTCTATAGATGAAAATGGTTTATCAGGATAAGGTTT